GAAAGTATATTGAAAAAAGTCTTTGAATGTGATTCTCAGGGGCCTAATTTGTGTGATGAAATAAGATGGGACACTTCCAGTGATGCAAGAACATCTCTAAAATAGCTCTTATTATTTAATGACATTTATGTGCATATTTTGAAAAGTTTTTTTTTTACCTTCCAAGAGGGGGGAACAGGAAAAGACGAGGAGAAAGGAGAAAAAGATGGAAGAGAGGAGAGAGCTAAGTGCTTTTTAGTGACTCAGTGACAGCTGTGACCAAAATCGTATTAAGGTCACAATGGAGGTGGCGGGGTGTAGTAAAGAAGCTTTTCAAATGAATCAATTCTCCGTCCCTGCTTCTCCCACTGCTCCTCTTGTATTTGCAGCCGAATCACAGGTATATTTCAGTCAGCGGTGAAGCACGAGTAGACACGACATGAACAAATTACTTTGAGTGTACTGACGGGTGACCTTGTTGCATCCCCCGCCGTCTTCCGGTCAGGCGAAAGAGCCACATGCTGGACTACTGCCCGGGGATTGGTGTATTTCCTTGTCAGGGATTTCATCCACATCCTTTACTCCCTTCTCACACCATCTCCCCCGGTGATTGCGTCGTATACCACCTCTCACATCCCAACCACTAATGCCTTTTTTTATAGATCATTACCCTGCTCTCCCCTCGCCACTGTTAGCAATCAGTCAATCAGAAACGCCCGGCCTCCCTGTGGTCCCTGTTGTGTGGTCATGGCTCATGGGAGGTGAGGAGTCTTCGATCAGGCGGGTTACGCTGTTTACTTTGATTTGATGCATGGGGTCCACATGCAGCTCGGCATTGTTGACAAATCTGAGTTGCCAGTAATGGTGATTCACACGTAGCCCTGAGCAACTGTTGCTCTCGCCTGGTATGGACTTATTGGGTTTCAGCAACGGCTCGAGCAATTTGCTCTTAATGAGGTGCCGCGCTGTAGCAGCATACAACTTTATGATCTGACAAAGAGACAACTTGTTGAAAGCCTCTGCCCGGTATTTTCCCCTCGCCTGTCACAGCTCTGACTCATGGTTCTTTTTTTCCCCATTGGCTCACTCACTTGCATTAATATTGTTCTCCTCTAATAACTTTCCCATCTTTCAAACTTTACCCTGCCTGCCCCTACTCACTGACCTCTGTGCCGCACTCTGTTGCACTCTTTATATGAAGGAGAGGACTCTTGTAAGCCCCGGTAACAGAGGTTAATCCTCTCTTATTAGAAGGCGGATTACTGGAGGGAGAGGGACAGAAGCAGGCACACTGGGTGGATGCTAACCCCAACCTCAAATGGGGAGAATGACAAAATGCCATGACTGACCTAAGAGGCTTGTCTAAAGAGGAGGTGATATATAGAGAGTTGGGATTTAATAGTTTGCCAGCAGGCGATCACTGTATTTGTTGGGCAGTTAAATCAAAGCAGCATTCACACACTAGAGCACACCACTATTGACATGCACACGTGAAAAACTGGAAATACTTTCCTTTTTAGATTTAATATTAATGCTTCACCTATCACTCTGACATATATTTATTTAAAAGGCAGTTCTGATGGGGATCTGCATTCATCATTCATAAGTTCTGTTGGGCTTTTATGGATAATTTATCCTTTTGCTAGCCATTACTTTTACATTTAATTGTACACAACTCCATCTCAGATTTATACAAAGCTTGAAACTAGCTGTTGGATTATTTGAGTAATCGGCAGCTGATCCGTTGTCTTCTCTGAAAAGAAGCAAAAGACACTGATTTGTTTTAAGAAGTTGAAGTGAACTTTGGATTCGTAGATTAATTTAAAAAAATTAAATGCAAACCTTTGCATGATGCTCGTTTAATATCAATAAATTCAGCTGGTTGCCATCATAAAGTGGATGTGTAGGCTATATTATGAAGGGGTTTTACAGAGTAGAACTACTAATTGGAAACGACTCTTCAAGGAAGAAGATATTTATTATTACAATAACTCATATCAAAGCAGTTTCGGGTGAAATGTTATTAATTCCAAACATGCTGGAAATACCACTAGTGGATACCATCCTAAAATTGGTCAGTGGTATGACCAATGCTGATATTGCTGTGTTGGATCTATAAATGCAAGTTAATAAGTACCGAGAACATTAGCCATTACATTACATTGCACTGGTCATGTTAAACCACGCAGTGAACCCTGTAACTGAGTTCAAAACTGGAGTGATTTGCCTTATGGAAAACGTCTTGTTCCATTTTCAACTTGGCGGCTCACATGTAAACTGTTCAATATAAATGTTTATATATATATTCTTATCCCATGTAGACAACTCAGGGGAAAAAATCAACATAGTTGAAAGTTGGAAATATCTTAACACTTTATTAACCTTTCTCTTTTGCAGCAGACTTGTGTGTTTGTGTGTGTGTGTGTGTGTGTGTGTGTGTGTGTGTGTGTGTGTGTGTAAGAAAGAGAGAGAGATAGAGAGAGAGAGAGAAAGAGAGAGAGAGAGAGAGAGAGAATGTTCCCTTTTTCTTAAAGCTTATTATTAAAATGTTTAATGTGTCCACTAACCCAACGCTCCTCTTGTTCTTTTGTGTGACCGTGAAATAAAGTTTGTTCTCACATCATTAATCTGTTCTCTATTTTTCTTTCTCTCTCTCCCCGTCATGCCTAAAAATAGAAGTGGAACAAAAAGGTAACTAAAATCCAACAACTCCTCTTCATTCACCTCCATTTTCATTTTCGTCTGTGCTTGCATTTTCTGGTGATGGGTTGCTGCAGCAGGTTGCTGGCAAATGTTTTCCATGTTCATTGTATGGTTCATTGGTGTGGTTCAACATGTAATTCATGGGGAAAATTAAATTGTTCAAGCACATGGTGATTAACAAAAAATCTTGAAACCTCTTTTTTAAATTATTCCTCTTGTACAGGATACCGAAAGATGAATAATTCAGTAGACTCCTCTTCATTTTTCTTGGTCATTACCAGCATTTGAGATGCATGTTTTGACATTGCAACATATATGATAATGCCCAAGGATAAGATGCCATTACAATCCTGCTCAATACTAATATCCCATAACACTAGGATGTTTTTATTTCCTGCAATAACTGAAAATTATTCCAGCTCTGCTTTATCATCTGCATAATATTAAAGCAGAAAGCTTTGCAGGTTGATCGATAACTTGTCCAATAAGGTGTCAGCATTTTTCAAATAGCTCTAACATGATGATGGCCGCAACCTTCAGGGATTCACAAGTCAATACTGGAGATAAATCATTGCAGTTGCAGTCTTACACTATCAGCAGTGTGCTATGCTGCGCTACACATGTGCCCCATAGTGGTTGATTTCACTGTTAAAATAAACTTTAGCTTTAGATTATACATTTCTCTCTCTGAAATTGGACATGATGCTAGATTAAAATCAAAGGTGAAAAGTGGAAGGGTGACACCAGATTCAAGGGTAGAGTTTTAATGGCTTTGAAATACATTTTACATTTCATAGGAGTCATTAATTAATGACTTACCACTGAAATTAGCGGTGAGAGAATCAGCAATGAAAGTGAAAGAGACTTAATCGAAATGACCGTGCTGCTGCCTTAACAGATTGTCAGATTCCCCATGAAAGCCATGGTTGTGTAACTTTTCACATATACTCCTCCATCTCAGTGCGCACATCCTTAAAAAGCTTCTTTTCGCAGATGCCGTGTGCTGTGAGTACAAAGCTTAGCTATTCTGACCTTGCACACTCCCACATCTTGTGTTTTCCAAGCAAAGAAGCATCTCCTAAAATCTAGCAGTGCAAAACCTGAGATGCGTGTGGATGCTCTGAGACACCGCCGTGCATTTCACCACATCTTCACCTGCATGAAGACAATGTGTTTAATCTGGGGAGATTACAGTCGAAACAAGCCTCTGTTTCTGCTGTTTTTTGTTTCTCCTTTCCATTGGAGCCGCTTCTGACTCTTAGCAGAACTGCGGCTGGAACCTGTCAGGCTGCCGCCCATTACAGTGAAAAGACCATTCACACACGCATTTTGTAAGATTGCCAATGTAGAGTAGGTTCCATGCTGTGGAGAAAGGAAAAATCCAACAATTCTTCATTGCTGCATTTATTCCTATTTACATTTAACAAGACTTTTCTCGTATTTTCTGTATATATTCAGTGACTACTTTGTGGTCAATACAATTGTGAATTCAGATATCTTTTTAGAAAGAGAGAAAATTATAATTGCCTTACTCCTCAATAATCAATGGCTGAAACTGAAATTGACTCCTGCAAATGGTGCCTACTATTGACCTGCTCCAGCTGAATGGCTTTGGCTGAGCGTCATCAGATTTGACAAACCAGTTCACATGTAATTAGTTTATCTTGTGTGGTGTTGTAAATCATACTACACATCAAAACTGTCATGTTGATTAAAAAATGTAATTTTTCTGTTTTTTCTTTTGATTTGTTTTCATTTTTCCAAAGAGGCTGTCTTGGCCAATTATTATGACACAGCCATTTATCAAAATTTGGGCTCTGTGTCTCCTATTAATTTAAAACTTCCATTCAATTTTTTTTACATTCCTACTGTATTTTTATTTATATTTGAGTACAGGCTGAACAGGAAATATCTTGTCTTAATGTGCGTGATCAGGGCTAAGGCAAGTTAAGGGATGTGCATGTGGTCAGCTCTTCATTAAGTCAATGACAAAATGTTTAGTCTCCCCTCAACCACCATGACAGTTGGTTCAGTGGGATTGTAGATTATTGTTTCAGCTCTCTGCAAACATGAGGCACAGTTTGAGTGTCTTCTGACTGTTGGCAGTGTCCTGTTTAATTACAGACATGCTTTAAAGACAATAATCAAATTGTTTTCTTTATACTCATCTCAGAACTCAAAAGGCCTTTTAGCCTTCATGAAAAATGGGTTGCAGATTTAAACTTGAGGGACGGTTTTGAGTTTCTGTCTCGAATCAGTAGTTCAAGTACCTGCCAATGTAACTCTGTAATTGTCTTTCCACATTTTTGGCTCCTCAGTATTCCTGTGCCCAGGGCTTCTGCGCAGGGTGTATCAGAGTGAGCACCTCTTTGAATCGGACCACCAGTCTGGGGCCTGGTGCAAGGACCCTCTGCAGGCTTCTGATAAGATCTACTACATGCCTTGGACCCCTTACCGCACGGACACCTTGACTGAATACTCTTCCAAAGAAGACTTCATTGCTGGGCGGCCAACAACAACCTACAAGCTCCCACACCGTGTGGATGGCACAGGCTTTGTGGTGTATGATGGCGCGCTCTTCTTCAACAAGGAGCGCACGCGCAACATTGTGAAGTTCGACCTGCGAACTCGTATCAAGAGCGGTGAGGCTATCATAGCTAATGCCAACTACCATGACACATCCCCCTACCGCTGGGGAGGTAAATCCGATATTGACCTGGCCGTAGATGAAAACGGACTTTGGGTGATTTACGCCACTGAGCAGAACAACGGGCGGATTGTCATCAGCCAGCTCAATCCCTACACGCTGCGCGTGGAGGGGACCTGGGACACCGCCTACGACAAGCGCTCAGCATCCAACGCCTTCATGATCTGCGGGATCCTTTATGTGGTGAAGTCGGTGTACGAGGATGATGACAATGAAGCAACAGGAAACAAGATCGATTATATCTACAACACAGAACTAAGTAAAGATGGCTTTCTGGACATCCCCTTCCCCAACTCCTATCAGTACATTGCTGCTGTGGATTATAATCCCAGGGACAATCTACTATATGTTTGGAACAACTACCATGTTGTGAAGTACTCTCTTGACTTCGGAGCACTGGATAACAGACTCGGTAAGACCAACTTTTCTTGACTCCCTCCCTCAGTGTGCATAAACACGGGATCTAAAGTCACTTTTCCAAAATAGCATTGGTGTGTATAAAGGTTGCATATACTCAGATATATACAGATTCCCCATTAGTTTGATTAATTAACCTGTTCTGCAGCAGCTGTCCTGACCAAATGTTCAGCTGACCATGACAAGTACAATCTTTCCCCTCTACTGGCAGTTGTCCAGCAGGTCGTGTGAAGTTCCTACAATTTACCCGCTTACATAGGGATTAATTGGTTTTCAGTAAATGGTAAAGGTAGAGAACAGTAAAATTCTCAGCAGGTTGTTTTTTCTTCACAACTTTATCATATAGGTTGTTGAGATATAGACTGAAAAAATATTAATTTAATATAAACTGCAGTACTTGCAGTTGAATGAAGAGAATGCTATACAAGATACACCTCATGGATGCACTGGGACGCATCATCAGTGATGTATCCTGGGGTCATTGGGTGTTTCGGGTCTCGCAACATCATACACCCTCACCCAGGCGACCCAGCCGGGGGTGATCAGGCCCCGACTTGCGTCCCAGTAGCTGCCCACGGATCTGCCCTCCTTATCCAAAGCCACCTAGTGGCCTTTTCAGCGGCTTCACTTGCGGATTTGATGGCCCTCTTCTTAGACGCTCCTACGATGCCCAGGCGGCTGAGGACCTTGCACAGGGACCTCCCTGCAAAACCCCTGCAGCCTACCTCTATAGGCTCATAGAATGTCTTCCAGCCTGCCCCCCTGCACTCCTCCACCAGTTCCTGGTATTTAGCCCTCTTCCTCTCATTGGCTTCCTCGATGTTTTCTTCCCAGGGCACTGTCAGTTCCAGTATGATCAGATGTTTTGAAGACTGAGAGGTCATGATCATATCTGGGCGGAGGGTTGTTGTTGCGATGTGCTGGGGGAACCTTAGTTGCTTACCCAGGTCGACCTGCAGCTGCCAGTCAGATGCTGTGTAGAGCAGGCCTGTTGTAGCCCGTTGGTTTGCTCTGGGTTTTTCTCCAGCTCTGACAAAGGAGATTGCCTTCTTTGGAGCCTGTTGTTTGTTGCTGGAGTTGATGGCTGAGGCTACGCTCTCAGCGACTGCCTTGAGCACCTGGTCATGGCGCCAGCGATAGCGACCATCAGCCAGAGCCTTCGGGCAGCCGCTAAGGAGGTGTTCTAAAGAGCCTCTACTAGAGCATAGCGGGCAGGAAGGGGTCTCACTTTTTCCCCACACATTCTATTCAGTATGCATTAGAAAAATCTAAAAGGAAAGTTCAGTTCAGTTTACAGATATTAGTGCTATATTGGACTCACAATTTGTCAAATTAGACACAATCTGCTCTTTTGAACGATTCCATTCCAAACACTCATGTTTGCCTGAAGTCACACCAGTGATTGTTACTTATTAGAATATCAGGCATCGACATTTTCATATTATTTATGAAGCAGCATTTGTATCGCTCCTATTCAAACTCTGGACAGGAATTTTTAGGCATTATAATTGAAGTTAAGTCATATTTTCGATATGTTGTTTAAAAGTACTGTTCAAATAAAACTTCCCAAGGTTCTTTTGAACAAACTCATTTCCCCAATCCATTGTTCTTCTTTGAATTTTGTGCTTGCTGGAAAGCATGCTACAGGATAATAGAACCTGTTTTGACACAGCAGGGCCATTCTTTGTGCTATCTCATCTCAGCTCTAGTCAAAAAAAAAAAAGAAAAAGTCACGAGTTATTTGACTGTGAAATTCGTACCTCTGCTTTCTCCACCTTCCACTTGCCAGGTGAATACATTTTCCTTAGCTCACTGCCACTGTTCAGCAGAACTTTTTTTGTACTTTTTTATTTTTTTACAGAAATCCCACTTCACCATAATCCATAATATATTCACTGGTTCAGTAACCGTGCTTATAGTATTTGGTTTTGAAGAGGCAAAGCCGCGTAGTTAAGGATACTGAATCGGTGGTGTTATGTGCTTTCTGTATTGAATAATCCTGCACTGTGTATGCCCAATGGTTCCTTACTTTAATGGACACGCGCACTCAATATCGGGCTTCCTGGTGAAAAATGCTGGGCTGCTCAGAATAGGCGGCTCTCCAAAATCTTACTGCATAAATACAGATAGTAAAATGTTGCATTAAGTGGATGGATAGAGTCTGAGAGGAAGTATAAACGTCCGATAAACAGACTGATAAGGAATAAAAGAGTGATTGAGTGGACGCTTGAATCATAAAGTAAATACACTAGTTTGATCATCTTAGAGGCTAATTCTGACTGGAGCAACTGTTAACTGTGAACATTTTCTACAGACTTGTCTCCTAAGGTGCATAATTCCAATTTGCCAGGTACCACCAAATTGTTTGATTCAGGATCATAGTATCACTTCAGTACACACAAATTAGCCTTGATTTGTAGCTGCATCCTGGTGTTTGTTTGACTTGTTTGCAATTCCACTGAGGTGAGAAAGATCAGAGAGCAAGGCATGGCAGATGCAAACTATAAATATCTGAGACAGAAAGTTACAGAAACAATGGCAAGTCACCCGGCGAGGCCAAAAATGTGACTCCACGAGTCAACATGCCAGAACACCAGATTTCAAAGCCAACAGCTTCTCTCATTCGCTGCCTGAAATTTGATCCAGTGTCATGATCACAGTGCCTGTTAGCACTCTCAGAGAGGTGTCATTCTCTGATTGTGCTAACACAGGTTCTCTCCACTCATGCTTCCAATCCCATGAGCATGCCTGACCTGCCACACCAGTGGAGCATGCTATGTGGGCAGCAGAGCAGCAGAGGCGAGGACAGGCCCGCAGCTGGGCCAGCACCCAACCACAAGGACCAGGGCACAGCACACGCCAAAGGGCATTTGGCACGGACAGGGCAATGGGATTTGGAGTGGCTGACAACATTGTGAAACCTTCTTTCTAAGCAAACAGTGTTGGACTTATTGAGTAGATTGGTGATGTTGTTTTTTTCGTGACACAAACAAAATACGGAGAAACACGTCTAGACTGATGAAGATAGGCTGTTTTAAGGGCAACTAATTAACACCTGAGAGTGCTTCATTCACACCTTTGCAGATAATTGACTGAATATGTGACAAATCTGTGTATTAGAAGGGGCTATTACCAAGTGCGTACAAGAGCTCTCAACCACTTTTCATGACCATATTAAGTGTAGAATGCACAAGGACAACAAGAACAGACTGGAACATCGTGTTTTAAAAGTATAAGAGAAGGCAAAACATGAATGAAAATGATTACAAAGGCCACCATGACCTCTTTGGTGGTTATGGATTCTCTGATAGTTCAGAGAATTAAATGTCTCCCGACAGTCCATGACCCAGCTCTCCACATTCACCTGTTTAGATTGTTTCTCACCACTTCCATCCTTGTATGATTCAGCACAATGATGTACTCCATTTAGGATAGCCTGGTTTTTGATTGTGTCCGAACACAAAAGCTTGCCAGCCAGCATGTTGAAAAGCTCTTAAAACTTCAGAAGTGGAAATGATGTAAGAAAATATACCGCAGTATCTCCCATCATTTTAGTACTTTGAGTTGAATTATTGCCTCTTTCAGCACATTTAACCATCTTAATATATTTAAAAAATGATAGAATATTTTTCCTATGAACGGCGTTAACTTCAGATACAAATTTTGTTTAAGTGCATTTATCTAGATTGTAACATTTTGTCAGTTGAGATTATTTGGTCTGGAGTAAATCCCAGTCATTGCATATATCGAAATACATAATTTCCAGATTTCGTAAGTGCTTACTGTTTAGACAGGAAAACATTTATATTTCCATACTATTTGAAAAAAATAAATGCTTTGTTCAATATTTTGTACTTTATATCCTGTGAAAGCATTCATTGAAAGAATCATTCAGAATATTTGCTCACATTTACCTCTCTCGTTGAAATGAACGCAGGTTCTGAGCTTGTCTTCGAAAAGGTCAGTTCAGTGATAAAGATACAGGAAATTACTTATGAGTGCACTGTCTCATTTCCATACAGGCTCTGATGTAGCCTGCAAGTCCACAAAATGAAACTAGGGCAAAAGTGCCCCAAATCTCTTTCCTGTTAAATGCTCCCTGCTTGTTGACCATTGTGGTTGTAAAAATACATCAAATTGCACAAGATAAAAACTTTCCCTATTTGTAAACCTCTTATTAAACAAGTACACCTTTTTATTGTGGGTGGACGACCTCATTTGCTTCTTCCCTGACACAGGACAACAATTATTTTCATATATTATATTATTTTATATGAAATATACGAAATTATGGCCTGAATGCGACCTAAGGCATATTCAGTTGACTGCCATACCCCAGATTTTTCAAAAACACACACTGATTCTGATTGCTACATTGAAATTTGTGAAAGCTATACTTGACAATGTATCGTTACATTAAATGAGTACATTTTAGTGGAGGTTTATGGTCATGAGAACAGTCTATCATAGTTTGCTCATCACCATTGGGTCTTAAAGTTAGAGATAATGGCCATTATTTTTAAGGTGAAAAAGGAACCTGTAAATATGCTCTGTATTTTAAATGGTGCAATGTGTATTTACAATGTGCCATTACGATTCACCAAGCGTTCTCTGGTTCCGCTGAAACTCTTCAGAAATAACTTGATTATTAAAATGATTTCCCCCCCAAACCTTTCTTCAGCAGAATATGTGAAATTGTGCCACAAAACTTCAGATTAGTGCAGTTTTAATTTATTTATTGTTTTTAGTTTCATTCCTGCATCATTAGACTATCCCTGATTCTTATGGGAGTATTTTTTCTATCATTATACAGACCGTCTGTTGAGGATGAGCAACTCTGTCGCTGCGGCTTCCTTTTCATTTCATTCAGACAACCTCTGGTGCTTTTTTTCTCTCTGAAATGATTGTTTTGTTGACTCATGGTCAGTTGATCAGATGCAGCACAGTTGGTGTCATGGACCCATTCATTGTCTAGCATTGCTGTAATTTCGCCACATGTTGCCATCTGGCGAGGGCGCGGTGCCAGCCCTGTTGGCCTGGAGGGAGGCAGCAGACGTGGCACCCCGACCTTCAAGCCGAAACAGCCAATGTTTTGGACGCTCAAGACCAACTTGGCTGTATTTGGAAGAGCCTGACACATGCTAAATTGATTAACACTGTCTAAGCAGTAAATGTGGGCTGGCAGAGTCACTGGAGATGATCTGAGTCTGACTCAGCGTGCTATTATTGCCACGAACCTTCGGTTACATTGCTCCGAAGTTACAATATGTGCTTCCTTTCAGGTAGCTGTTATTGCTTTTGTTGACAGGCTCCCAAACAGATTCTGGTGGTGCTCTCTGGCGGTAATTGTTTTTTCTTGATTACACATGGAAACATATGGACACATCCTTTAAACAGAAAATCTTTTCATGGTGCAGCACAGTAAACCTCTGCTTTTGTCTCTTTTTTTTTTTTTTTTGGTGTTCGCGACAATAAACATGTCTTTGTAAGAAACGGACACCTTGAGTTCGATTACCCCATGTAAGAAAAATAAATAATTGTTGTACAAACTCATTGAACCATTTTTTTTTTTTCATTTATCTTTGCTGGTCCTGGATCTGGATGAAAGAAAAGCAATAGAGGATTTGTCAATTAGAGCAGGCTTGTTCACTTTACAAGTGTGTTTTTTATTTTTTTTCTAAGTTTTTCAATTGATATCTTATTATCGTGCCTGTTTATCCACCATCCCTGGCTGTGATGGCTTTACCTTGAACCAGAAATCCCACCTTTATCACTGGTGTACTAAGAACTGGCATTGTGTTTGTGCCAGATCTTCCTCACCTCTTACCCCTTTTTTTTGTTGTTGTGTGTGTCTGAGTTTGGCGAGCAGTTTCCCCAGATCCCCCGAAACTACCACATTAAATTCAACAGGCTGGGTGGCACACACGCTCCAAGTTATTTATTTTGACCAATCAGCCAGGCGAATCTGGAGAGAGGCCTCTGAAGCATCTTTAACTCTCTTTATCATCAGAGTCGCTTTCTACACACCGACTTTGCCCTATCCATTTGGCCCATTTTACAGAAGGCCAATAGTCTTCTGAAAAGCCTCACTCTGGGTTTTCTCGGCAAATGGTCAGACCCAGAAGGAGAGCCTCTTTGCTCTGATTCTGAAATCCCCTCTGCTCATGTCCTCATATTCACTTTTCCTCCTCCTCTGCTTAACTGGCTAGATTTGACAATGTTTGGACTTGTCGCAAGCCTGAGACAGTATTCAGTGTTTCATCTCACTTTTCTTTTTTTTTTTGTTGATGTTGTTGAAAAGACGGCCATTAGAGGTTGCTAAACATTATATTTCAGAGGACTAATGCACATATTAAAGAGCTGGGCTTATACTGTATTTTTGCAAAAGATGTCTAAATGCATGAAAATGAGAAAAAATCATTTTAGTCGTAGTTGCTGTGACACCATGTGTATGAAATGCAATTGAATTAAGATTTATTCAGCAAGACCTTTACACATTAGGCAAAAATATCTCGTCTTTTACTTTTAATGCATTTTCAGCAAAGCTGTGCAGTGCCTATGCCGGCAGGCTTAGCTCCCGTCTCTTCTGTCATTTAATGCAAACATAGGAAGCGTCTCCCCGGGCCCGTGTCCGTGCGTGCATACATATCAGCACAGTGCACACACTTCTCCCCGCACTGTCTGACCTCCATTGATGCCCTCTCAAGTCCAGAGAAAAGAGCTTGGGAATAAGAAATTAATTGCCAAACAATGCATAGTTCCCATCCATTATGGTTCTCATCATGTCAGATGATATCGAAGCATTACTGGATGCATGGGTGCATAATTTATCACTCCTCCTCCCCACTACCAGCACCTCTTCAACTTTTCATATCCCAGTCGTGCACTGTGATGGATTTCTGGGCTTACCGCAAAAGATAATATTAAATGACAGCACTTTCATCATTTTATTTTCCAACCATTTACATGTAGAATTTCTGCTGGACTGCATGTGCTAAACACAAGGAAACTGATAAGCTGTGTAAATCACAAGGCAGGTACGGAGTGAATGAGATTTAAATAATTCTGTTCAGAGATAACATTTCAGACCGTGACTTCCCACATGGGCGCTGGCTCAGAATTGACAAACCACTTAAGTTTCACAAGTCACAATTAATTTTTCTCAACTTATCTTTGTGTGCGTTCTCTGAGGTTAGAGCCACTCTTAGGCACATATTTAATCTTCAGCTGCATGTTGAAGTGAAGTATTTTATCAGATAACCGTTATTAAAACTCGCCAACATGACCCATTAGTGACTTCCAGAGAAATTCTGAATTTTCTTTTAATTTCCTTTTTAAATGAGCATTTCAATGAGATTTTTCTTTTTTAACACCAGTAACTCTCTGCGTGGCAGATTCAAGGTCCACTGCTTCACTGAAAACATGGAATGTTTTTTAAAAAGGATTTTTTAGAACTTATTTCAACTCATCAGAAATAAACATCCTCCTTGAAACTAACACAGTAAAATCTGATAAAAAAACAAAACAAACAAATATATCAAATAAGATTATCTAGATTTTATGTTATTTTTCTTATATTTTGAATAGTGGACCAGAATATTCTTACTGTGGTGAACACGAAAAGCTACAATACCTGCTAACTTGGGTCACACATTTTTGGAAAGAGTGTTTTTAAGGAGTATATTTTCCATAGTTTGAAAGTGAAATCACACCCACGACAGAGCTGGTAATTAAAACTAATTGTTTTCTGGATGAGGGCATCACAAGGGATATCATCAGTTCAACTTGTCAATATCAATCGTGGCGGTTTTGGTTATTTTTTGCCACTTGGACCTGAAAATAAATGTAATCAGTGAAATAGAAGTAGACAGACTGGCGAGGTGGAAGAAATACTATACTATCAAACA